TATAGTATTTGTGTTTTTTTATAATATAGTGATTAATTAACGTACGAAATATGTGAAAAGGTGAAAATAAATAATTTTAAATAGGGGTTTGAAAAAAACTGCAATAATTATTTGTATAGTCTCAATTATTAATGAGTCTCGTGATTTGAAATAATGTCGACCACAAATTTAAAGTATCAAACTTCTACAGTTATGTTTATTGTGGAATATTTTATAATTTATGTTATTGAAAGAATGCAACTTTATGCCTTATATGCATAAAAAAGTGATATTTTTAAACATCATATGTTCCTTCTAGCGGAGGTGGAGTAGAGTTGAACAATCAAGCTCGTGTTTGTTTAGTAAATGTGTTGGCTTGACTTAACTTATTAAATAAAAGAACAAAGATGTGAGCATGGGCTCGATTCATTTAATAAGCAAATTTGATTTGTTGCTTGAGTTCGATTCATTTAATAAGCAAGTTTGATTTGTTGATTGAGTTTTCATAGTTAATTCGAGATATATTCGCAAATACTTTGTTTCAAGTGATAATTCTAGTCCCCTCCAAAAAAAAAAAAATTTGTAACTGTCCCTGCCTATAGCATAATTTAGGTGTCTTTACATTCAAACATTACATAGAACTTGTGTTTCATCAATCATGTATAACACATCCCAAAACAAATCAAGGCATATTACTACAAACATGTACACAATTAATTATGTGGTTTACTATTATGATTACTAGTACAATGCCCGTGAACTGTGTTTGAGGAAAAAAATTACTTGTGCAACAAAGAATGAAAAAGAAATAAAATTCTCATTGTGAAATAAAAATTACAAAAAATTTATAATAAATATATTTATTTTTTTCAAACTTAAATAGAGAAATTAATTCTGCAGTTAATATAACGTCCGTGAACAATATGGGTGCACTAAAATAAAAATAAAATATTTGCATCCAAAGAAATAAGTAAATATATTTACTTATTTAAAGTAAATATATTTTCTTTTCTCATGGATTATATTTCAAAATATATTCAACTTTATAATATTCAATAATTTAAAATATAACGTTTATAGATGTAATATTACTAAACTTTATGAGATATAATAATTGGTTTTATTTTTATTTTAATTATAATTAACATTTTCTTAATTTTTAATATCAATATAATGCTTAATCTCATTGTAGTCTTTATTATTTAAGTTGATACATAAATGAAGAGGTTATACCAAGGTCAATTACATTTAAAATATTTTATAATTATTTTATGTTCATACTAAGTTATATATTTTTTTCAATTAAAATAGATATTTTATGATATGTTAATATAAATTAATTTCTATTGTTTCTTAAGATAACTTGTATTTTTAATATTTTAATTTAGTTTAGTAAATCACTTTAAAATTTATTTACAAGGATATATCATTGTTTTGCATTTTATAGATGTAATATGTATGTCAAATCGAAGATCGTAAGACAGTTAATTGATACATCACATATAAAAAAAACAAATAAAATTTTTTAAAATTTACAAATAAGAAGAAGACACATTTATATTAATTGGTGTATAAATTAAATAAGAAAAGGAAATATAATATATGATAATGTTAGAAAAGAAAGTGTATAATTGTTTATGGTAACTAATTGTATAAGAAAATAAGGAATAGATCAATCATAGATTTAATGTGAATAATTTAGATATTTAATGCAATTAAAGCCTGATTATTATTTTATAAAATATTAATTTACATTCAATACTAGCTACGAAGTATGATTTTTTGCCACATAGGATCTCAAACGGATGAGTCTGCCACTTAGGCTCAACACATTCGTCAATTATATATGGGAGGGATGTTACAGTAAATAAAATAATCTTGATATAAATATTTTTTTATTAGATTATATTTTTGTTAAACATATATTGACAAATTATATAAATTAATATGTAAAATAACAAATTGAATAAATTATTTTGATATTAAATGTAATTTAAAATAATGAGAACAAAAGAAAAAGAATTATGGGCAAAATCATTGGAGACAAATTTGATTTTTACTTTACTCTAAAATTTAGTAAATTCTACCCTAAAGTGGTCATCAGAGTTAGATATGACCCAACTCGTTATTTTCTACTTTTTTTTTTGGTATTTATGAAAACTTATTAGTTTTTTTTTTTTTTTTTTTTTTTTCCTTTTCCCTTGTATACATACATTTTTTTTGGGAATCCATGGTATCGAAAAAGTGAATGGTTGAAGATGTTACAAATAGTAATGTGTTCCAATTAGATACTGTCACACAACTGAGTAATGGGATGTTCGTTGTAGATAGAACGACCCTAAACTGTTGTTCCTTTCATCATTTGTTAATTTTTATTTCCAAATTTTTATGTGAATGCATCTAGGTGCATCAACCAGTCATAATTTGTGAAGAAAATAACATACTTATACTGTCAAATAATGTATTTCAATTTTTGCCTTCCATAGACATATTCCATGTTTTCGGTTCCTTTTTCCGTTCTAATTTTGCATCATTCCTATTCCTTATTTCCCGTTTCAACTTTGTCACAAATTTCTTGTTCCATCTTACGAAAATGGCCGGACCGTTATATACTTATTCCATGTACAATGTTCCTCCATTTTTGTTAGTATAACTTTCAAGAAAGATAATATATGTTGTAAATGTATATCTTTTTATTAGACCAAAAGTATTAGTTTTCAAAATTACACTTGTTCCCTATAGTAATTGATTTGTTGAAGCTTACTTTATATGTTTTTCGTCGCCAATAAACTTTCTAAAGTGAAATAATAATCACATAAGATCGAAAAAGTAAATAAGAAACATAAATATTGAGAAAGGTGAAAATAAAATAAAAAATAAAAGAGAGAAATAAAGTAGAAGGGGCAAATTGGAGTTGTGAGGTGTTGATTATGGCATGGGAAAATAGAGAGGCAGGTGATAGAGAACAAGTCTGTTACTGTTATCATATCCATACATAGATTTCTGCTTATATGAACTTTGATTTTTTTGCGAGTCATTAAAAGGAGAAATATATTTAAGAGCGAGCATCCTCTTCGGGATTTTGAGTAAATAGCCGAAGACTCAAAATTCCGAAGAGGATGCTCGCTCTTAAATATATTTCTCCTTTTAACGACTCGCAAAAAAATAAAAGTTTACATGAGCAGAAATCTATGGAGACTTGTTCTCTATCACCTGGCTCTCTAGCTGACACGTGACGGGATCCTGCAGCATACTTTTAGCTCTAGCCAATCATATTGTGGGATCTTGTGCCACCATGGCAGAAGGCAGCCAACCAGGGCGTCGACGAAATTAAGGTTGTACCGTATCCTCCCTCAAACTGCAGCTATTGTTTTCACTCTGATGTTACCCTTTAATAAGGCTGGTAAATTTTATATTTTATATTTATTTAATGTCTAATATTTAGAGCAACTGTCAGATTAGTATTATTATTATTATGATGAAAACCTTGCTTTAGCACTTATTTATTCTTAATAGGTGGCATCTTCATGAAGTAACTAGTAATCATCATGTGCTGTTTCATTTTTGATATGCCATTACCATGTATGAAATATTAATATTATTATTATAGATGGTGAAGAAGTTGCCATTTGAAGAGTTGCTTGAGCAAGCTACAGAGCTTATTCCTATCTCTCTTCCCTTCTCCAGTCACGAGGCGGATTTTGAGGGAAGCCTCGGCTTGCACAGATCGGACATGTCAGAATATAATTGAAGGAAGGAATGCTTTTTGGCAACAATATCTCAAGGTGCGTGTGTACGTGTATAAGAGAAGTTTTAACTAAATATCTTGTTGGGAGGCATTTTAATAAATCTGACTTTTTTCACTAGTGTCCTTCCTCGGGTGAGATCAAAGGGCACCATTTGAATGGATTGAATCGAACACTTGATTCACTGCTTGGCAAGGTGCGTCAACTTAAGATGTTAAGAGTAATTATTTTTTATTAGATCTATTATTTATTGTATTTCTTTACACACATATAGGTTCATGCATTCAAGAACCAATGGAAGCAAAATTATGCCGACATATTTGCAGCTTTTGAACAATCAAATCCGCGGAGAGATTACTAGCAAGCTCTCATGGAGGGATGGAGAGAGAGAGAGAGGGAGAAAAGGAGTTAATGCTATGGGCTTATGTATTTATTAACTGCTTTGTGAAGCTTTTTTTTTTTGTTGAAATTGGATAAATTATGGTTTTGTATTTAAAAATCCAACATACCGACTACTACTGATTGTTGCTTTTGTTCTTAAGAACCACATGTCAGCCTTTTATGACCTCAGTAAAATCATTAGCTTAGTTAATGAAAGCCGAACTCGAGCTTTAATGAGACTAGCCGAGCTTATGAGCGGCTCGGTGAAAACTCCGATTAGTGTAAGACACTGCTGAAGATACGAAATTTCTGGGTTTTGGTAGGGTTTATTTCACTCTTCATCTTATAGCTGATTACAGACCCAAATATGACTGATTTGCTCTAAAAAAGATTGAAAATTAAAACATGCAAAAATTATATCATCTTGAGTTTGTATTACTCATGTCCACCAAACAACGATCAGAGTAAAATAAATAAATAAATAGATAAAACCAAAAACTCTATCTATACCTTAAAAATTAAGATCACTTATTGTCGTTACAACATTTTCTCTTTAGCTCTAGCTGGGAAACCTCAAAACACCATTTTCTCATTTTGTCTGTCTGTAAATTCAATCTGCAGCCAAAACACATGTAAATCTCGAATCGAACTCGACATTTCTAGAAAAACCTGCCGAGTTAAACAGTAGCATCCATCAAAATGTCGATATTTTCGATCTGCAGACATTTCTGAGTTCGCTAAATTATCATCTAACCTTCAGAAATCCACTTTCTCATGCCTACAGGCTACAACAGGCTAAAGATTGTGTAGTTACACATATAGAAATTAATGTATGCACTCTGCCATTTACAGAAAAAATGAGACAAAAATCTCTAAATTCTATACCTCATTCATTCACCTGAAGAGTTCCAAAGGTGTAGCCGCTGGATCAAGTTCCAAGCATCCTTTCGGAGCATTTCCACCTTCAAAGCCCGTAAGCAAGTAAGTTTGGACCCGATTAGAAAATCGAAACATCTCATCCCTACGAATCCTCCTGACTGCATCGGGCCCCGAACCCGGAAAAAATATCGTCTTGAAACCGGCCACCTTCACCAGTGAACCATGGTAATGCCCTTCCCCTCATTATAGTCATCGAACACAGTGACCATCTCATATTTACGTATAACCTCGTCAGGGGTATTTTCGTCCCAATCGGACGACCAATTCTTGTAGAGCGCCCAAACTTCACCCTTTTGTGGAAATATCATAATGCTCCCGCGCAGGCCCTTGGACCAGCGCACTCTCTGTGAGAACGAGTTGATGGTTTTGCAGGTCTCATACTTGCCGACCTTGAATTCCAGCACATCTTGTAAAAGCATGAAAACCAGTCGGGCGACCCGAATTCGCTCGTGGCTTTTGAGTTCAGCCAGCTGATCCTCAATTTAAACGGTGCCCGTGAAATCAAGCGGTTATTAAGCTGTACAGTATATCATTATGTTGTATATGTGTGTGGTTTTATTATTCTTTCTGGTGTAATTTTGTTGTGGAATCTGTGTTGGGTAAATTTGTAGAGGATTATTAGTTATTATAGATATGCAGATTGATTTTTCAAAGATAAAGAAACAAATTTGTAGGACTTGGAAAGGTAATTGTAACCACACTAACTGTACATGGAGAAAATACATATGCCAAACTTGCATCTAAATAAAATTTATAAGTCTTGGAATGGGATTTTAGCTCTGACCACACTCACTGTGAATAAACGAACATATGCTAAACGAGCGATGATTTTAACCCATCAAAAGCTAGTCGGCTAGTTTACACGGGAGGACAGTATAAGAGGTTTCAGTTCGGTTTTGGCCGTTGCGCATTGGCTATTTAGAATGGTATCAAGAGTCGAGACTGCTTCTACAATATGCTTTCCCTTGTTCAGCATTACACAGCTTGCCCTGTGACCCAATAAACATTCAACTAGTCAAAGAAGAATCTCATGCAAATATTAAAGCATATATTTGTGCTGAAAATCTGATTATGAGAACCAGTCTAGCTACCAAAATACAGCATTTTCTTCATAAAATGCAACCTTAAGAGGGGGAAATTGATGGAGAAGATAGTACAGAACTCGAGGGGTTGCTTGTAAAACTTTTTTCACAAACTGTTTTTGTAGTTTATCCTTGACAATATTTTCCTTCAAAACCAATTTTTACTTGGCTTTTTTATTTTTCCATGCAAGTCGAGCACAAGACTTGACACATGGAACACAAAGACTATGTTTGATAACCAAATAAGCTAGCTTATAGCTTATTTGATTAGCTTGTAAGCTTCGTTTGGTATGACGAGTTTTTTTAAGAAACTCGAGCTTATCTTATAAGCTTCTTGGGTAGTTTTTCAAAAAAGCTCGTTGAAATTTTTGTTTCATCTAGCTTATCAGCTAATTTTACCCAAGGGCGGACCTAGGGAGAGGCCCTTAGGGGCACATACCCCTGTAGAAATTAAATGAAATAATAGTGCATATATATTTATATTTATAAATTAAAAGGGTATGCTATGTTATTTATTAACAAAATTATTTAGTAAGCTGTTTATTTTCTCCTATGTAATTAATTCTTAATTAAATAAAAAGGTGGCAACTGTTTGAAAAATGAAAATATCACATTAATTCTTTTACAATTCCAACTTTGAGAAAAAATTTTGTTTCTACTCACATGTTGTATCTATTAATAAATTAAATATTTTAAATTTATGTAACTCTCTATTTATATTTAAATTTTTTTTTTTTTTTTAAAAAAAAGCGATCTTTAGAATTTTCAGAACTTTAATGTAAAGTCAACTTAATTAAGATTTCTTAACTCTTGTTATTGGGTTTTGATACATATTGTATTTTAGGCATTCTTAAAATTATAATTATAAATTAGTTACTAAATTGTATTTGTCATTGATTTTTATATGATTTTAAACTTTTATAAAGAAATATTATAAATAGAAGTCCACCAATGTTGAAATGGAATGAAATATTCAATGCAAAAAGAAAAAAAAAAATAGATATTTGAGAAAGATTTATTTAATAATATTAGAAATAATGTGATTGTGGAGGATCCAATATATGAGAACGAGAACAATTATCGTTTTTGTTTTTATATATTTACTGTGTACAAATTATATTTGTACCCCTTTAATTTTGCGAGTCTGCGTCCGCCCAAACACTTTTATCATATAAGCTAGCTTTTCAGTTATAAGTTATAAGCTCAAAAATTACTTATAAGCTATCAGCTAGTTTTACCAAACATAGTCAAAAGTAGTCGAGATCAAATATTTAAAAGTACCCCTTACCTCCTCCCGTTAGCCGCATCTACAATTTCTGCTCGACTCGGCACGCCTGTCTTCACCACTGATTCCAAAACCTGAGTGGCAAGAATAACCGGCACGTGTGCAGCCTTACAAATCGAAATAATCTCATCCTGTATATCCGCAAGCTTCTCCCACCCGCACTCAACCGCCAGATCGCCTCTCGCGATCATCACGCCTAACGGGTTCCCCATCTTCATCGCCTCAAGAACCAACAGTGGAAGCTTCTCGAACCCGCCTCGAGTCTCGATTTTCAGCACGACCCCTAAATTCGAAACCTTTCTCTTCTCGAGCTCACGGCGCAAGACGACAATGTCGCTAACATCCCGGATAAACGATACGCCGACCATGTCAGCATTAGCAGCCACAAAATCGAGATCCACGAGATCTTTCGACGTGAGCCCCTCGTACCGGATCTCGCTGTCCGGGATGTTTATCGATTTTTCCGAGCCGAGCTTCGTGCCTTTCGGGCCCGCGTGAGTTATGGTCACCACAACTTCCGAAAAGCTCGTTCCTTTCACAACCCCCCATATTTTGCCGTCATCGAAGGCTATGGGGTCCCCCGGTTTGACCGAGTCGAACAGGTAACCGGACGGGCAGGTGACTCGGTGGTCCCCAGTGGCTGAAAAACCAGTGGAAGAAGAAGATAACTGCTCGTCTGAACTGTCTCGAGATATTGTCAGCAAATCGCCTACTCTCAGTCTCACAAATTGCTCGGCCGGGGGAATATCGACCACGAACCCCACCGGCGATTTTTTATTTTTCCCTTTCTTTTTTTTTACGCGAAGTACCGTGCCGGACTCGATATACGCAGTGTCGATGCACTCGGCCATAAATCCCGTGCCAGAAAAAATCGGATATTTGCTCAAGATCGTTAAATTCCTCCATTTTCCACGGGCATCGGAAAATCTCACAGTATCATCAATCTCTAGCTCGTCGAGAAATTCCGGGCCGTCGACATTCAGAATCACGTCAGGGGACAGGTGAGATGGCGGCGGGCCTGACCCTTGTTGGGCCAGCCAGACATGGCTTCCGCAAGCCGTATTTCCATATGGGCCCCTCTTTGGGCTGACTTTCACCACACACGGGCCTTCCTTAAATCTCCCTGTACGGAGCTTGGGCCCGGCTAAGTCCATGAGTACTCGGCAGGGTTTTTCGAGAAGTCCCGCGGATTTTCTCACCGTGCTTATCATTTTGCTCCATATTTCGGGATTTCCATGTGCGCAGTTTATACGGAAAATTGTGGTCCCCGAATTTATGAGGTCAGCTACCTGCACGTCGTTATCCACGACTTCTTGGCCGATTGTTACCATGATATGGGCCTTTTTCTGACCTTGAAGTTTTCCCAAGAGTCGATCCTGATTAAAAGATGCCTTTTTAATCATTGAAGTCATTCCAAGATTCAATCTTTCAGTGTCGAGGACTTCATGAATCGGATGGTCTTTGCTGGGAATGGTTATTCTGAGAAGGGAATCTGACCTCGAGCTGAGTAGAGTTTGGATGCATGCGGAGAGACTTGAGAAAACGTGTGTATGTATGGTATCCAGATTCAAAAGCCCGGCTACAGAAAGCTCTTCGTTTATCTGTTCTGTGTCCAGGCTTTTTAGCGACAAGTAGTGCAACAGATTTGTTGAACTTGCAGAGTAGTTTCTGCCGATGAATACGTAAATGAGATTACAACAAGAATCACATTTGAGTAGAAATTTTTAATATTTTTTCACTTTCTATATTTTTCCACAATTCTTTTATTTATTTTTAACTCCCAAAGCCATATTAATTATGGCAATTCTATAAGCCTACAGCTAATTTATGTCTTCAATTCTTATAACAGCAATTACTTTGGGGCAAATATTTCGTGCCAAAACGACAATGAGCCACCATTTTTGGAAAGACACTCTCGAGAAAAAAGATAAGTGTTGTATATTCACCATAACACTACCTCGATTAGTGTTAAACTGTTAAGCCGATGAGCACTTAGGAGTAGAACAGAGTTAAATACAAGGTAAAAAATCTCATAACAAGTCAGTCATGGACATTGGCTAGGGGAAAGTTAATAATGCTTACTGGTGACACGTTTTAAGCCTCGAAGAATTCCACTGTTCCATTGCAAGAAAGTGCAGATGAACTGCCTTCAGCTTATCCAGAACACTCTCTCGATTTCCGTGTTCTGCAGCATTTGGTTGGAAATTGGCATCTGATTGCATCAGGACAGCTGTCTCTTTCCTTTGCTCCCTCGAATTTTCATCTTCCTCAGGACTCACAAAAGCTTGACCATCTGTAAGATGAGGTGAGCTCCCCATGTGGGCATTATCACGTTCGGGTGGTAAACTACGTGCAGCAATCCTTGTTGCGAGTTTTACCCGGTTTTGAAACAGAAATACCTGGTTCTTACAAGATGAAAACTCATTGCCATTCGAGACGGGATGTATGAAATCAGGGAACTTCGCCTAAAGGAGAAAAAGAGTCGGTAGATAATGAGATAAAGATGAATGTTTAATTCCAATAAGATAATAGCTTTTGAACAAATTATCCCACAGGCCATTCAAAACTTGATCAACTTCCTCTTCCATAAATTAAATGGTTTATTACAGAAAGACAAATGTTTTTGCAAGAAAAAGAAGGAATAAAAAGTAAAAACTACTTAGCAAACTCGGTTTTAACTACATATCCACAACACCAATTCATGCACAGGTTTACATGTCTAGGATGAAGATAAAGGATCTTACATGATCCAATATTGAGGTCTGTGGAGTTATAGAGCAAACTGACAAAGCTCCTATCGTCATATCCAGATTATGATTCCCTGTAAAACCATAACAAGAATAAATTCACCGATTTCTCGTTCAATCGACAAGCTTATATCTACCTTCTTTCAAATCCATACACAAGATATAATTCAAATTACAGGACCATGGTCTTATTTATTCAGAAAAAACGCTGAAATTAAACATAAAGCTGGAAAAATAATTTGGGTTGCCCTAAAAAGAGCTAAAAAAAAATCCATGAACCAAAATCAAACTCCAGCTAACCTGGAAAAACAGCAACTTGAAACACGAACTTGATTTTTTACACTAATATAATAAAAACAACAAAAATTCCCAAAAAAAAAAAAAATGATTTAACAAACAATTAAATCTCACCTCTTCAAACCTAAAGCAGGAATCAAACTGGACGATTATCAGGATCAAAACAAGAAACACACAAAAAAACATGAAATTCAAGATGAATTCAACTGCACAAGCACACAAATTCAAGATATTCAACGATTACCCTAATGAGCAATCAACACGAGCTTCGACAATCAAACAGCAGCTTTGGATTTCTGCTTATGGGCATATGATTGAAGCATATGACACTGTAAAATTAATCTTATTTTAGAGAGAGAAAATGCGAAGGCGCAGAGAGAGATGGGAGTGTGGCGGGCGCGTGCCTGATTCTCTGTGATGATGATGGGGATCGAAGTTTGCTGTAGAATCTTCGCTAAAAAGCGCTTTATTTTGTGTCGCTGAAACATGAAACACGCTTTTAATCAATCGTAAGAATTATAGAACAAATTGTACGAAATTATAGCCTATCGCAACTATATGGGTTATCATATTAACTAGATAATACAAGTCGTACTGGAAATTTAATGAATTAAATTGTAGAAAATTATTTAAAAAAAAAATATTTTGAGTTTTATATCGAGTCAAATCAAGCTCGACTCGTTAACTAAACAAGTTTGAGCTAACAAGCAGTTCGTTTTGTTTATCGACTCTAACCACAATATATAGATTTTACTTTTATCATTTACGAAAATTTTTTTACCAAAAAATAAGGGGATGATTGTTTATCAATTCAACTAAAAAAAATTAATCAAAACTCAAATTTAACTCAACCCCACTATCCTCAATATTATCAATATGATTATATAATATCAACAAATCATTCTTACACATCACATCAACTTTAATTTACTATTCAGTCACTGGCATAATTTTAACTAACCATCACTTCCAGTAATTTTTCTCATACTTTATAGCAAATCAAGTTTAATTGTTTTATTTAAATATTATTTTAATATATCCACTAACAACTAATCATACCACTTTTTTTTTTCAAAATTAACTATAGTTAAAAAACAAACCAAATAAAAACTAGTTGAATTCATAAAAAATCACACCCTAAGTTATTGCCCTACATTGTAAATTTTACTAGATGTAATTTTGGTAGCAATTATTATAATGAAAATTTATATATAAATTGATTTGCCCTACATTGTAAATGTTACTAGATGTAATTTTGGTAGCAATTATTATAATGAAAATTGATATATAAATTGATTTTGAAGACAGTATGTTGTTACTCAATTTTGGCCTCGCCTATTAAGATAGTCCACGTGGATATATATATTAAATTATGTGGATATACATTAAATCAATTATTATATTTTATCTTATTATTAAGGCCCAAGAATAATACCGCTTGTAATAATATCGGGTCAATAAAAATCTATATATATATCAATCCCCATGATGGATAAGGACACTTTTTGTCCGCTGAGGGATATGAACAATCTTTCTCCTTTATCCAAATGAAAAAGGCACCGCCTTCATGAACAGAGAAAAAATACAGTTCTTCCTTTAAAACTTCTTTCTTCAATTCTTTTCTTACAATCATTCTACACAAAAAATCACTACAAATCCCTATAAATCCTATACCTCCTATTCACGAAATAGGGGTGTATATTTTATGTTGTTACAATTTCGTTTAACAACACAGTCGTTGTTGACCTATCATCCTCAACGATTTAATTTATTTTAAATAAAAGAAAAAAAAAAAGAGAACTGATTTTAGAATCTAAAAAAAATAATAAGGTAGATTTTAATTATAATATACAAAAGAATGATTTATTTTAGAAGATTTTATTTCAAAATTAGGTAACAAATCATGTTATATTGTTTTGTTTTTGTTCTCCACTATTTTGTTTTGTGTAATCAATTTTGTTTGAATATAAATATGATAATAAGTCAAAAAAATATTTAATTTTCTTATTTTGAATTTTTTCTAAGTAATATACATAATAATCAACAAATAATAAATGGTTAAACAAAAATAGACAACAATGAAACACCAATAAACTTGAAATGCCAACCACAACCACTCAAGCCAACATTTCAGCATAATATTCCTCTAATATAAGATTCTTTTTCCCCTCTTGAAACTATTCCAACATATAAGCAAACACAAAGTTTCAAAGTTTCATTATTTATTCCACAAAAATAACAACATAATCATCAAATTTTCTCTGGTTCTGCAACACCAGGTCCAGTATTTGGCTGCCCAGAAAATACATCCAACCTTCATATTCGGATAAAATAATGCCGAAAAGCATCAACCAGTAACCAAATCAATAATTCACATTTTGAAGTTTTTCCTCGTTAGACGATGTTTTTTTTCATATATTCCGTCGCGCGTCGTATTATGGATGAGACATAAACGGGCAATTATTGTATGTGGTCTTTTTTAAATGGGATCGAGCAATCACGTAGAGCTTCAACCTCTTTCTTCAAAATAGATGGCAATGAGAAGGCAGCCCTATGCATCTGTCAATCACAAAAAAAAATGTTAAACAGATCTTGATCTTGACCCGTCAAAAGATAGATCCCTCAACGTAGAAAATTTAGAAAAAAAAAAGGCAAAAGTAAATGTTGAAAGAGGTTTCTCCAAACCAAAAAAATTGCATCTTTGATCAACCATGACATGTTACAAATGTTGAAGGGAAAGTCGCATTGTGATCGTTCAAAAAGGAGTCTATCAAACAAACTGATTATACAGATTTGGTTGGTATTTTCACCTGAGTGATATTGTAAGTCGAGTTAATTATTTGTGAGAAATTTACACTTTGCTACCGAAGTCCGGAAATCCAAACTTTGCCTTCAAAATTTTTTTTACGCTTTGCCTACATAACTTTGCTTTTTCATACACTTTGCAATTTTCAGTCACCGCCGGCCACACGTGGCAACAAGGCACAAAAACCACGTATTGGATTATGACCGCAAATGACCAACTGTACAGAAAAGCAATGTCAGGTAGACAAAGTGTCGTAAAAAAAATGTGGGCAAATTGTAAATTTCCGGGTAATTAGATAGGCAAAGTGTAATTTTTTTATTAGTCATTCTTTGAACATATATATAGTATCAGAATGTTATTTAGTTTTTAATATTATCTTCTGTGAGTTATTTTAATAAAAATATATAAAGCACGAAACTTAGACACCGCACAAAAATTCTAGCATTGGCCATGAAAGTAGTTGTATACGTCGAAACAGAAAACGAAGGTACCTCCGAATTGTAAAACTTAAGTTCCCTTCTATATTCAAGTGCATCGTCCATCTTCTCTATCGGGTTGATAGGGTGCACGAAATCCACGTGCGGTCCCTCGGTAGAGCACAAAACGAATCCTATAACTCCACTGTAAAACACATACGAAAAATCAAAAATGATAAGATTCATAAGAAATTGTCGTATTTTATTACATTTAGACAAGATTACTACCTTGGATATGTGGGGACACTTGTCCACGCGTAACGAACAGAACCCTTAAATATCTCACGGCATATTGAAACCATGTCCTGAATAAGATGTGTATGAAGCCACATACTCTCGGCCATATTACAAAGGACACCACCGGGCCTTAATGCTCGAGCTATGGTCTCGAAAAATGGTTTCTCGACGAGCTCTTGTGCTGGACCTGCAAAAGAAGCACATGGCAGCCAATTTAATATATTAAGATGACAAAAATGCATTTTGTCCTGTTGGTTTAACGTCAATAACAATTTTAGTCCCAAAATTTCAACTTTTTTTCATTTGGTCCTATGATTTAATATTTTTCTACAATTTCAGCCCTCAAGTCCAAAGAAGCGAAATGCATTTTTAGTCTTCTTGTTTTAACGCCATAGAAATTTTAGTCCCAAGTTTACAACTTTTGCCTTTTGGTCCTATAATTTAATATTTTGCTGCAAGGTCCTTAATAGGCTAAATTGGCAATCGAAAATCTAGGAATTTGTTGGAATTTCAGTCCTTAAGGCGAAATGTTAGAATCTTGGGATTAAAATTGCTATGCCGTTAAACCGACACGACTAAAAATGCAATTTAGCCTATTAAAAAGACCTTTCATACCTACAAGTGAAATGGGGTTTTAGAAAATTATTTCACTAGTCTACGCGGAACCGAAGATAAGGTAATGGTCACTTACCCACAGGGTCGGATGAATCAACGATTATTGCATCATACTTTCCTTCGGGTGTACGCTTTAGAAATTCGACAGCTGTCAAAATTTGTTATTTATAAGTGCACATGTATAAAATCGGAATGTGACAAAAATTGCAAATTTCAAAGATCGAAAAATTCCCAGCAGTTCGAAAATGAAACATTTGAAAAGAAAAAAAATATTACAAATCAACATGTAACTTGTTAAATTTTAAGTTTTATATACCATCGCCAACATGAAGGTGCACACGAGGATCCTCGAAACCGAGAGCTAACTCCGGAAAAAATTTCTTGCTAACCTATTATAGTCCACAGAAGCACATAATTACTCGACATAGGAAAATTTGCTGGCAATGGCAAACTCTTCCATAAAAAACTTATGAACAAAAAAAAAAAAAAAAAATGCACTCACATCTATGACCATTTCATCTATTTCACAAATATCAATCGACTTCACAGAGCTGTGTCGGGCAATTTCTCTAAGAACTCCACCATCACCCCCACCGACAACCAAAACCTGCTTTTCAGAAAGGAAGAATATAATAAATACACTTGACAAAAAATAAATCAACACGAGAATTTAAACTAAAGTATAGAGAGAAATCGGGAAATTACATTTCTCGGGGATTCGATCGAACAAAGGGGGAGGTGAGTTATCATCTCTTGATACGCACATTCGTCTTTCTCGGTCAACTGAACAATCCCGTCCAGCACAAGCACTCTCCCATAAGCAGGGGACTGTTTAACAAAAAGAAAAAAGAAAAAAAAAATTAAAACAAAATGTAAAAACACATTGATCATAAATCATAATTAGTAATTGTAAGAATCTCAACCTGAAAAACAAGAACCTCCTGATACTTTGATCTTTCTTGGAACAGAACTTTTTCCACTCTCAAAGAATGTGCTTCTCCTAAAACGAGAGAACAAGCTAGATCAGACAAGAATCTACTACAAGGTCAAAAGAGGTAAATCCAAAAACCTACAGTACTAATCAAATTTATCCTGTCTTCAACTAATCGGAATAAAATAAAAGGAACAATACCTGGCCACATCGGGTTGTTGAAATACACTTGCTTAAGAGTTTCACCTGTAAACAATATCAAGGAACCTCTAGACTCATTGATGCCATTAATATGCAAAACGAGAAACTAAAGTATGCTAGCTACAAACACACAGTAAAAAAAAAAAGAACATTGTACCAGATGATGACTTGGGCTCGGAGAACCATCCAGAAACAACCGTTGAATGACACTTGGCATCAGCCTCGGGATCGGATGCCTTAGCTTTCAAGCAACAAGATGGGATTATGGTGGCCTTTCCGGCACAAATGACACTATTCTCCTTCCCATCCATAGTCTTCCGGCATTCCAAATCTTTTCCTTCGCCATCCGCCATTTATTACCTTTTTCTCCTGTGGATCCAGTCTCTGATAGGCAGATTTTTTTAAAAAAGGACAAAAGAAAAAAAAAACGGTGTATTAATCTCAAAAAGCATAAGATTATGGAAAGATGCAACTCAACAACAAAATACGTTACAAAGTGAGTATATACATGACATATGAAAATGCTACGCATAAAAATTTAATCACAAACTTAAGGAAAAGGAAGAACTTTAGACACATGAAAAGTGGAAACATGATATAACCACAAATCTAAAACCCCAAAATATCAAAACACACACACAAACATACATTTAGAATCAAGAACGTGTAATAAAACGTAAGGGTTGAGAGATACTAGCCAAACAAACAAATACATTACAAGCCAATATGAGGATTTAAACCATAGCCATATGACTGGTACATAATACCACAAACCAAAAGAAGGGTCCAAACCAGTTTAACAATGTAAAAGGCTAACAAGTCTTCTGAATAAATCTAATGAAAGATAAGGAAAGTACATGAAAAAATTGGTACAAGTCAAAAAGCAGCGAAGTATTAATCCAGAAATTGGCACCATACTCTTCACACTATAATTTAATAATACGAATCGCACTATACTCTTCCATCATCCTTCAAAGGCTAAACAAAGTAAAAGTCGAATACGGCTAAAAATCACCATGAATGCATACAGAAAAAAGCTCTAAGTTTTGCTTAAAACAAGATGAACAAAATTAAACCTTTTACGCAGACTGTTTGATAAGCAGAAGAAATTGATAAATACAAAGGTCAATAAACCAACTATGAAGCTTCCCCAGAATCACACAGCATGAACCAACAGATATGAAAGATTACAATAAACCTCGGCTAAAAAAGGATGAGGGTTTTCTGAAATAATCAAATAAAAACATACCCAGCAATTATATTCCAAAATAAGATTAGGGTTTTCTACAAAATCGAAGATTTAAGAGAAAAAAATGGGGAATGCGTGTTTACAGATGAAACACAAAGCAGCCATATGTGTACCTGTTGTTCGCGGTGGGTAACTGGAAAAAATTGTAGAAAAAAATAGAACCGAAAAATAATCAACGAGTTCTTGATGGATAAACTGACAATTTCAAACGGAGACGATAAAGGAAACCCGAAAAAAAAAAATCTCTTTTTTTTCTTGCTTCACTGCTTTTCGCTTTGTGGGTGTGCACTTTCCAGAAGATGAAAGGCCCAAGTGAAGGAGAAAATAAATATAATTTTGAATCTTTTAGCATTACTTTATTCTTTTCCTTTTTCTCCATACCACATCAATTTGTATAACAGTTTTGATGTGGAGTTATTGGATGACTCGACTTATGGAGTCATCCACACTTATTCACTAATAGTGTCTTGACACATGTCTTAGAATAAATACAATTTGGACAGGTGTCAACACATTAAGTGGTGGATGGCTTTATAAGAAAATCATTCGATGGTTCATAGAATTTTTAATTAGCATAATTCTGGTGTAGTACAAGGTGGTTGATAACATAATTAAATTACAATAAACAATTAAAAAAATTGTATAATAATTTATAATAAATAATTAAGTGAATTAAGAATATTATTTTAAATTATGAAAACTAATATATATACTTCATTAATTTTATTTAGTTTTTATTTAAACACATAAGGCCCAAGTGAAGGAGAACATAAATATAATTTTGAATCTTTTAGCATTACTTTATTCTTTCCTTTTTCTCCATACCGCATCAATTAGTATAGCAGTTTTGATGTGGAGTTATTGGATGACTCGACTTATGGAGTCATCCACACTTATTCACTAATAGTGTCTTGACACATGTCTTAGAATAAATACAACTTGGATAGGTGTCAACACATTAAGTGGTTGATGGCTTCATAAGAAAATCATTCGATGGCTCCATAGAATTTGTAATTAGCATAATTCTCGTGTAGTACAAGGTGGTTGATAAAATAATTAAATTACAATAAACAATTAAAAAAACTGTATAATAATTTATAATAAATAATTAAGTGAATTAAGAATTTTATTTTAAATTATGAAAACTATTTTATATACTTCATTAATTTTATTTAGTTTTCATTTAAACACATAAGGCCCAAGGGAAGGAGAAAATAAATATAATTTTGAATCTTTTAGCATTACTTTATTCTTTTCCTTTTTCTCCATACCACATCAACTAGTATACTTGCTACGGAGTTATCGGATGCTCGATTTATAGAGTCATCTGCACTTATTCACCAATAGTGTCTTAACACATATTCTAGAATAAATATAATTTAGACAGTTGTTAACACATTAAGTGGTGAATGGTTCCACAAGAAAACCATCCGATTATTCCATAGAATTTTTATTAGCATAATTTCCGTGTAGTACAAGGTGGTTGATAAAATAATTAAATTACAGTAAACAATTAAAAAATGCATAATCATTATAATAAATAATTAAGTGAATTAATAATCTTATTTAAAATTATGAAAACTAATTTATATACTTCATTAATTTTATTTAGTTTTTATTTAAACGCATAAGGGAATAATATGAACAAACACACAAGTTGGAAAGTAGGATTATATGTACATTATATAAAAGAAGATAATAAATAGATTTATATAGAATTATTTAAATATAATAAATATGTGTATATAAATATGGTACTTTGAACCTAAGTTATTTGGCATAAAAAAGTAATATTTTTACTCAAGCCATATTAATAAATATAATATTTTGTCATGTAAAATTACAAACCATGCGAAGCTACCACTTAAGATCAGCGCGTTCTGAAATTATAGAAATTATATATAAAGGGGATTATTTTGTCCTATTTAATTAAAATTCGTTTGTGGGTTGGACTTGATTTATTAAAATTCTAAAATATGAATTTTTGAATATTTATTTTTTTATAATTAGACTTATGAATATAATAAATAAAATAAATTCAAATCCATTTAGTCAACAAACAGAGATAAAGGCTCGAGCCTAAGTTTGACTTGAATATAAAAACCAGAGATTCAGACTTAATTAGATTAAATCCCTATTTTACCCCTGACAAAGTTGACTTGTTTGAAATTGATAAAAGAATAAATGTACACTTATTATAATATTTGTGAAGAAAAATGTTCCAAACAATGATATATTCTTGAATTTGTACAATGGGTGTCATTGACTTTATAACAATGGTAAATAATATTCAGTTATTCATACATGAAATTTTGGAATCCACATATTTGTTCTTTGTTCACTTAGTTGGAAAATAAATTAACTAATAATGTTATTATTTATTTATTTTTTGTCTTTGTTGATCATGAATCCTCACCCACAATTTTGAACCCCGAGAAGGTATGAGGCCGCTAGACGAACCATGAAGTCCTCCGCATAATTCACTTCTCGATACATATGTTGGATCTTGACCTCCCATTCCTTAAAGGAATTATTTTAAATGTAATAATTGTTTTAAAGGAATTATTGTAACTCGAGGTTGATATTGCATTCGAGCAAAGGTATATTGGACAAATCTTTATTGATTGTTATGCCCTTGCATCATCATTAGAATAAAAAGACATAAAAGTGTCTTTTTTTTTTTTTTAGCCAACCACGGTATCCGGAGCCTTGCCCCGATTAATCCGTTGGTCGACCCGGGTCGCACACCTGACAATGGTGGTCTGCATTTATAAGGATTCGACCCGAAACCTTGCTTAAAGGACATCAATCTACTTACCACTTCAATCAACCCTTGTTGGTGACATAAAGCGTCTTTTATTGACGCTTGATGATGATTGGATAAATAAGCCCAAAGTTCTCAAGGCAAAGGCACACCTTGCTAGGTGTGTCAGGGCGTTATGTGAATTACATCTCCTCTAAAGGAGCGTGAGAGGTAAGGAGGTAAGTGTTTTTTTTTTTTAAATGAGACACGTGTCCCATTTTTATTGGGTAATGAATTTCATTTATCATATTATATAAATTAAATTATCATTCATATTTTGTATCAAAAAATAAAAATAAAAATACCAAAATTCATAATTTTTCATTCTCTACGAATAGAGACCACATTTGATATTTTTTAAAAAATGGGACATATGTCTCATTTAAAATAAAAAAAAAAAACTTACATCCTTACCTCATTTGATATTTTTTGGAACACAATTTTTTTTTTTCATTTTTTACAATTAATTTATCTTAATAATAGATTATGACGCAAATCTATAATTAGATGAATATGTTACATAGTAAGATGAACATGGTATAAAGTAAGATGAACATGTCATAGAATAAGATGAAAATGTTGCATTTTCACAGATGAAATTTAGATGAACATATTCTAAAATAAGATGAACATGTTACATAATAAAATGAACATGTTATAGAATAAAATAAACATATTACATAATAAAATGAACATGTTATAGAATAAGTTGAACACGTTACATACATAATAAAATGAACATGTTATATAATAAAATGAACATGTTACATAATAAAATGAACATGTTATAGAATAAGATGAACATGTTACATACACAATAAAGTGAACATGTTATAGAATAAGCTGAACATGTTACATACATAATAAAATGAACATGTTACATAATAAAATGAACATGATATAGAATAAAATGAACATGTTATAAAATAAGATGAATATGTATTATTTTCAATTTGCAATCTGTAACATGTTCATCTTATTTGAAAACATATTCATCTTATTATGTAACATGTTCATTATATGTCAGTATAATAAAATACGAAAAAATGAAAAAATAGTTGTGTTCAAAAACCTATCAAATGTGGTCTCTATTTATAGATAATGAAAAATTGTGAATTTTGGTATTTTTATAATATTTTTTTAATATAAATAATTAATGATATTTTAATTTATGTAATATGTCTCATTTTTCAATTAAAAAAAGAAAAATATGAATGTGCATTACACTCTCTTAATTTTCTAGTTTTAGGGGTGAGGGGCGCGTGCAAAATGTGCCCTGACACACCTAGCTAGATGTGCCAGAACACACAGTAGTACTACTGAGTTCTCAAAGTCTCTTTTCTCTTTTTAAGAAAAAAACTAGTACAACACCCGTGTATTACACGGGTGCTTGTTAAAAAATTATTCTTAAATTTTAAAATTAATGAGAAAACTAAATTAAATTTAGAACAAAAAAAAAATATATTACTATATATATTTTAGAATGATATGTGTTATTTATGACTTACATGTGTTATATTATATTGGTTGTTATAACTTATATCATATAACTACTTGAAATATAAATATATTAGTTGATAAATAGTTTTATTTTTCTAATTAATATTAAAAATAATTTTATTATTGTTATAAAGATAAATATATATATTTTTTTTTTATACATACAATATGGATGTTAAATCGAAAATCATCAAAAGAAGATTAATTTGATATATTACATATGTAAAACTGATCAAAAATACAAAAGTTATTAACTTTTAAAATATATATACAATTCAATAGTTATAATAAGGAATGATATTAAAATATAATTAATACATGTAACATGACAATAAATAATCAACATATTTATGGTAATCCAAACCTAATTATTTTTGGTTTGGAATTAAATTAAAATTTATCCAAGCCTAATAACGAAGCATGTAATTTTGCTACATAGGATTTCGAAGCACCAGAAGCAACCACGTAGGTTCAGCGCGTTCTGTATATTAATATATAGGAGGAGGGGATGTGCAGAAAGTGTTTTACTGAACAAGATTGCAATTATTAACTATGTTAACCATGAAGTGTTTTACTTAACAATGGTTCTTTAGTTATTTAGAGTAGTATTTATTTACGGAAAGCTTTAATTTTTAACAAGAAACA